ATGCCTTCTTGTTTAAAAAAGCAATAAAATAAAAAGGAAAGATCAGATTTAATTATTTTAATAAGAAGTAATTTCATAAGGTATTATATGATGGATAATTGCATTAAAGCGATTTTTTAATAGAATAATATATTAGAAATGTGTATTTATAACATTTGGATGTACGTTGATGTGCAGTCTTTTTTGTTTCTGTTATTTATGATATAATGCAATGCAATATCTATGATAAAAGCAAAATATAACTTGACAATCTACAAGGTAGAAATTGAAATTGTGTGATCGGAAAGTTTATCTTTCCTTATATTACAAAGTTTTATATTATTAATAATTTACGATTAAAATACAAACTTTTAGTGAAAGTTTTAATAAATGGGAAGATTTAAAAAATAAAAAGATGAAAATCATAATTAGTAAAGTAATAATAAGCAAACATATATTTCTTGATTAATTAACGTTTATCCTGAACGAAAGAAGTATCTCCTCTTTAATTTAGTAGCAATATTCAACTCGGACGAGAAAACTAGATGAAGGGAGTGATCGAATACGGAGATTAATTAATTAAAAAAAATAGACGAGGGGATATACGTATAGATATATAAACGCAGGGCATACAAAGGAATATTCGAGTCTGGATTGTGTTACGTCTGTGTGTTGGGTGTATTTTGTAGTATCACGATGCGCCGGAGAATTTTTCGGACTTCTTGACCATCGTGAACTCGGTCGTCACTCTCCTTTTCCTCATTGAGTGCATCCTTAAACTCATCGCCTTCGGATGCAAGGTATAAACAAGCCTCTTAAATCGCTCTAATTCCATATCTCACTCTCACTCGACTCACACTGCAAATTTTTGCTACTTTGTAACTCCATCGAGACTGACATCACTCACCGGTCCATCATTGATTGTGTGATGTTACCGGTCGGAGGATTCTCGTGAAGAAAGTGGGGATCCCAAAAACTGGCGAGAGGAACAGAAGGGAACACATCGAGACATCGCGAAACTGTTTATCGCGAAAATGAAAAAGTATTATAAAAGTTTACTCTTAAGTAGACTTATCAAGATTTAAAGTAAACTTGTGTATGGCATACGAAATTACTACAGTACTTTGAATGGGCATTCAAGAGGTAGCAATTGCCAGAAAACAGGACTGTGTCACTTAAAAAAATTGTTATCGCTGAATTTTTCTTTAATATTGAACATCTATTAGATATCAAATGATTTTAACATTAGTAAATATAAAGGATTAGTAAAATTACTATTAAACGGCTTTAATTAAATAAAAAACTCTAAATAATTCTAATTAAATTTTGAGGGCAAATGGATATTAAAAGCTTGATTTCTTTGATTAATTATAAAGGAATTATTTTTTTAATAAATTTTTTTTACAACATTTATTAAGAAATAATGCTGCAAATCCAAAAGATTAATTTAAACAAATTAAAGTAATTTAATTATATTTTTGCTGAGGAGAAATCATCTGAAAATCGGAAAATGTGTTCTTTAATGTGAATTTTACAAAAGAAATTTATAGAAATTAGATCGTTAATTCAATATTACTTTTTTACATTTTGCACAATATCCAACTGACGATTCCTATTTTCTGGCAAAAGTAGAAAAATGTTGAATATCAAATTCGCGTGTCTCTATCTCTCTCTCTCTCACTCTCTCTCTCTAGTTTGCTTGCTATTACCGGCATGCTCCCGTAGATACTTCTCTAGAAGAGATCCCGTCTCACTTATACTCCAGCCGATCATCGATCACTAAAGCGTGTGACTTGGGTAAACGCTTTAAAAGAAATTTTTACGAGCAGATGTCTTCGTCCTCGTAGATCTAAAATTCTACAGATAAATTCTACGTGTTTGAACGTCGATAGACATTACTCCATTGTAATTGTATAAAAAAACTTAAAAGAATAGAAACCTGCTTTTTTACAACGAAAATCATGAAATATTTTGCATTCATTATTTAATTAGATTATTAAATTCAATATATAACACGATATTAAATCTATTATGTATTAAAAATACAAATTTTCTCACTTTTTAAAATAAACAATTGACACTTAATTTTATATATAAAAAAAGCCTAGTAACTTCTAACATTTTTAAATAATGTAAAATGATTAATTGTTACAAAATGTTCGATTTTGATTAAATATAAAAAAGATTTGAGGCTATTCCACGACGTAGAGATCTGGTCGATGATCATTACAACATTCAGAAGCACTATTCAGAAAGGCACACGTTACAGAATTTCAATCAAATAAGTATTTCATTCATAATTGGAGTGCTCACGAACACAAACACGTACACAACACACGTACACAGGCACTCTTACACACAAAATAAATAGCGTACATTCACAAAAGAAGCAGATTATAGTATATATATACTTTTCTCAAAGTCGGACTTGTAGTTTCTTCTTTAGTGGTAGCTAACGCAAACATCTCACAGACACTTGAACTACACCCAAGTTCGTTCAATAGATTATTGAAACATGTCAATGATATTAGTCCGAATTACTTGCTTGCTATTAATATATATTATTATACGGATCAAGACACGATGATGAATAAGAAGATCATAAAAGAATCAAAAAGACACCAATCAGACAGATCATTTGTCAATGAAACATTAGTTTGCATTTCTTTTATTTCTAAATTGCTGTTTTATTAATTTTTAAGCAATTACAGTGCAAGACTGATTGGAATGAGTGACAATAAGGTAAGCAATAATCTTAAATGTACGTACGTAATTATGTAATTAAAGAAATATTTGGAAAGAAAAAATATCAAAATTTTAGAAAGGAATTATATTTGTTTATAATTTTTATGTAGATTTTCGATTATATTTACGAAATAAAGGATGAGTGGAATCTAATTAGAGCGACATTTATTGAATTTATAATTTTGTATAAAAAATTATTAGAGCACTAAAAATTCGGAAACATCGATTATATCCAACTATGTATATTCCTTTTTAGTTGCATATTGAACCTTTCTCCTTCGCAATTCTTTTTTATTCTTACTCTTCATGGTGTCTTGACCTTGCTCATGTACAGAGTCATGTATCAATAATTAGAGTTTTGATCTGCATCTGTTGCGATGGAAAACGTGTCGAAGCTGTTTAGCGAGCTTCGGGGTAGTAGAAATGAATACTCAATCGAGGGGGGGCGATGAGACCACTTTGCTAATCAATTTTTTCGATTGTTCCCGCGAGCAGAACTTCTTCAAGGATGCTTGGAATATCTTCGATTTCATCACGGTGATCGGCAGCATTGTGGACGCTCTCGTGGTCGAATTCGGGGTACGTAAAGCACCGGAAAAGTAGCGGAAAAGATATAAGTGTGTTAATTGCGTTTTAGCTACTAAAACCCCGTAATAGAAATCTTCCAGGTATATGTACATGTAATCGGGAACCTTCTCCAGGAAACCCGAGGCTAGGCTGTGATTACTGATGGCTGCTTGACTCTGACGAGAAGTCATTCCGATAAAGTCGCGCCAAATCAGAATTGACTTTCATGTTGACGCAAGTAAAGATGGACAAATTAGATGAAAAGTGTACATTTTGTGTTTACACAAAAGTGTTTACATTTTGATGTATCTGGTATATGATAGATGATACTAATTTACATAAAAGTAAAAGAGTAAAATTTACATAAAAAGAATATCATTATAATGAATATTTAATTACTCCCAAACTAGTACGATTAATGAATGTAATTGAGAATCGATGATTGAAGATTCAAAGTTAAGAATCGATTTATATATGCAAGAAACTTTGAATTATATTTTGAAAAAAATATATGATAAAAAATAATAAAATTTAAAAAATTGAGAAAATATATTATTTATTTACGAGACTTTCTATTTTTGGCAATATAACGCTGAATTCCGTCCATTGTTTGCGATTGTTTCAACATGCTAGATTAATTCTCATGTTCGAGACGAATTTGTCGGAATGCGCCTTTCGTCAGAGCATCCATCCATCATGATAGTGGCCCTTTTAATCGTCGCGGCAGTGTTGCTTGATGTGTACCTTTGTCTTTCGTTTAACCCTTTTGCTGCTTACTTAGATTCGCCGTGCAAAGCCCGTGTGACGAGCTAGCAGGTAAATTACGACAACCGAAATACCTCGAACACCTTTTGTATTATCTTTTAGCTGTGTGTGCTGCATTCATACGCTACATACATCACACTGTACATCGCTACATCTGCACAATATATACATATACGCAGTTATATAGTGAAACAGCTACATTGTACAATACACATGAACATGTTCCCGATACAGAATCCTGACCGTTCTTCGTATTAGGAACATTTCTTTTCTATATATCGATATCCTGTGACTTAGATTAACCAATGTCAATTGTAGTTTGAAAGTAGAAAAGGAGCAAATACCGTGTAGGGTGTTGCTCATAAGAATTTCTTCCAAATCACATAGTAAATCGTTGATTATTTCGATTCCACTGACGTAGCGATTACAATATCTAGCCGATAATATGTGTAGGATATGAATAATATTGATTTGTAAATCTCCAAAGAAATATATCCAGTAAAAGTCTATGTCGAAATCTGTATATATATATATATATATATACATATATATTTGCTGCCTGCGCTTGCAAAATTTTTCATAAAGATATGTCTTAGAAGTACAGGTAAGAAAATAGAGCTAGAATTATCGTGAAATGAGTATTGATCCTGATGTTAAAGTGAGCTGCTTACGAAGTTACTCATTGCCAGTGTGTGATTGCCAGTCGTTAGTATTTCTGTTCATTAATTGTAATTCCTAAAAGTTGAACGATCAGACACTCAATACTGTGTGGGAATGGAATAATCTCGCAATCTCACATATTTCTGTAATAGGGCCGGATTACAAAATGGTATCGAGAGGTTTTCGCGTCCAGTGAAAGTGGCCCGCACAAAGTGAAGGTATAAAATTACTATCCAGTTTTTGCGTTGACGAACATAAGTTGGAACAAGTCATGACGTTGCAAATGCAGCAGAATTAAATACCGCATTAAATACCGAAACTGTAAATTTAGTTTCTGCGTAGAAATCTGAAATGTGTCTTTCTTTGTAATTTCTCTCTCTTCCCGAGAAGATGCAATTATTATTTCAGACATAGATCTCTTTATATGTGTTATTACCGTTTTCAGATATACGTTTATATTAGCAGCAATTGTGATAAAATGGTGATGATGATAAACATGATTTCATTTGAGATTATTTGCAAGCGACAAGAAGAAACTGGGTTTCGGAACTAGTATTTTCTCGAGGCTCTTCCTAAATCATTTCTAGATCGAATCATTTTTATCCCGTTTATTTATCCTGTGCATGTACTTTTCAGAATACATAAACTATTCGTACATTACAGATTACACTAACAGTTTCGAACATTTTTAACACTGATACTATGAACAGACAATTGTTACACTGTAGTTACATTACCAGACAATATTTTAAAGGCATATGGATGCGGTGTCTAATCTGTCTCGATTTCGACTTATTAATCGTCTTCGTGATGTAACAGTCGGACATGATTCGATCGTTACAGCAAAAGGGTTTTAACATAATTACACTTTTATTATGTAATTGCGTTGCAATTCGATGATTAAAATAGTTCAATCATTATAGTAAAACATGATTCTTCATTAATTTAATTAAACTCGAGAATCATAAAAGCATTAATTTAGAACTATAGTTTACTTAAATTTGTATAATAGATATCAAAATTAATTAAATAAATGAATCATTAACGCATTAATTTAGAATTAGTTCATTAAAATTTGTATCAATATAAAACATTAAATTATTTGTATAGAGACAAAAAAATGACTTTCAATAAAAGGAAAAAGAAAAAACACCACTAGCTTAAACTGAAATACAACAAAAATACAGTTAATTACTTGACAAAAAGTATATATCCTATTTATTTCTATAATAATATTAGTGATTAATAGTTATTAGTAATTTTACATTACAATTAATTCCACCTTTTCTTTCGATAATGATTTTGTATTCTTAAAAAAGATCTTCAATTTCATCGAGGTTTTAACATCTCGCCGCTCTCGTTTTTTTACATCTCGCGAGAGAAATGTCAGTTCACTCCACAGCTTCGTTCGTGCATCGCCGAGGATAAAAGGACGCGGCACGCCGAAAGGACTGATGTCCTTTTCGACGCGTAGCATATAACGCCGAAACGCTGCACGCACGAAGCTTCGTTCTGGCGCGCAATAAGAAGTCGGCATTTTGTGGGGTTAAGTGCAATTTCCTCTGTCCCCTGCAGGAGAACTTCATCAACGTCGGCTTTCTGAGGCTCTTTCGCGCCGCCAGGCTGATCAAACTGCTCAGGCAGGGGTACACGATACGAATTTTACTCTGGACCTTCGTACAATCCTTTAAAGTAAGCATGTAAATTAAATCCTGATCTTTTTTTATTATTGAAATTAACTCCTGATTATTTTTTTATTATTCATATCACTTTTAGTTCGTACGTGCCAACACAGCGGTTATTATTTCTTATCTTTCCCAGTATACTCTTGATTGTTATACATTTAAATTCATTCAGCGTCAATTTCTACAGCTATGATTAATTATCGAGATAACGATAATAAAAACCTATCTTCTTCCAGGCTCTGCCTTACGTTTGTCTCCTCATAGCGATGCTGTTCTTCATCTACGCTATCATCGGTATGCAGGTATGAATCCTCTTCCGTTGCTTCGATTTCTCGGAAAGTTCCTATGAATTTGTTTCCATTAAAATGCGCTTTTGGGGGATGATGTGCAGAAGGGTGCAGGATTGAAGTATAACATGATTCAAGGAACTGGTCTAAGATTTAAAAGTTTAATAAATTTGAAAATATTACCAGTTTTATAATTATTATAGAAATTGATATAAATCGAATAATAATTATTTTATTATATTCTACGTGAAAAGAGGAATGCGGAATTGTTTGGTCTTATATAGAAAAGACTTTCGAATTTTTGTACGTAAATGATTTTGTACGGAAAAAATAGTAGCTTCTTTAATTAACTAAAAACATAATTGGCCAATGATCTTCAAGATCGATGCCTGTTCACAAACTAAAAAATCACTATCGCTAACGTGTCACGTCATTCAGATATTTTACTAAAAGCAAAAGCCATGCAATTATCTCAGCTTTGAATCGGGAGAAACGGCGTGTCGAGATAGTTTCTGGCACGCGCAACCTTGCAGATTGGGAATTTTAAGTGACAGCAGATCCCCCCGGTGGCCATTAAGTGACCCTGAAATTGTCCGTTGTCAGGTCTTTGGCAATATATCGAACGATGCGGAAACAGCGATCGATGATCACAACAACTTTCAGTCCTTCTTCGCCGGTCTTATGTTGCTTTTTCGGTGAGTCGAGCAGCTAGATTGACTGCCGGTTCGACGGCGACGAATGAGATGACTTCTGAAAATGATAATTTTATCGGCTGGGCCAATTGATTTCCCTTTCGTACAAAAAAAAAATTTTCTGAAACAAGCTAACGGTTTTATTATCATCTAAAAGTAATTAAAAAAGATTTTCTTTACTTGTGCCTGCTCGAAGTTTGTCTTTGTATATGAGAGGGAAACGATTTTGGCGCACAGCTGGCTTATCGTCGCGATCTTTCACGATGTTTCATTATAGAAATTTCATCGCAAAAAGACTCAACGACGTCATAGAAGACTAGAATGAAAGATTTACTTCTGCATTGGTTGTGCATTACAAGAGGAAAACTTTGTGCTTTCATAACGTTTACGTATTTTGTAAAATATATTTCAATTTCACGTCTAATTTTACTTTGGTAGTAAAACAGTCTTTTGTATACTGTGATCGCAATATACTGATCACTGGCCGTTGTTTTGCGGCCCCCGATGAAGCACCGTTAAAGATCTCGCGCGATGCTGACGGGAGATACGTCGTCGACCGTAGAGCGAGAGGTTGAGGGGAATATATATAAAAATGTGGTCGTCGTAAATTATCTCTAGAGTAATGCTTTGTTGGCATGAGCTGTAACGCGAGAGTAAGCTGCTCGACGTGTTAATCTGTTGTGACTCATCCCAATTAGTAAAAGCCCTATAGAGAAGTCTGTTTCATATATATAGTGATGCCTGCGTTAAGTTAAAATCTAGAAGTTTTGATTAAGGTGGTGCTTGAGAGAATGAATTTTGTTCCGATTATTAATTAGTGTTCTACTTTGTATCGTGCGAGTGTATAATTTTTTTCAGAAGCTTGCGTTGATAATAACTGCAGATGTACCGCTATAAAATCGTCGGAAAAAATTTTAATTATCGACATGTTGTTAAGAATTAGATCTCTATAGATCAATTTTTAGACGGAGAATGTAAATTAACGTTTAACGATTTAACCGTTTTGTTTTAAATTCGCAAATTTCGTTTTATACCTCAATTCTCTCGAGTGCACCGTGTACTTGTTGATAAGGAAAGTATGAGAAACTGTAGTTAGAGAATTGAATTCTATGATACTCTCATTATACACGCATTGACGCATTACACAGAACTGTGATCGAAGCGATACAAAAGAGATCGAAAATAGTGGTCATCCAGCGAGAAGGAAAGCAGAGGACATTCCAATTATTTTCGTTCGATATTTCGTTATTACTTAAAAAAAAAAAAAGCATATTTGGTGACGCAAATTTGTAATGCCGCTCGTGCCTTTTGGCTGCGGCCCTCTTCTTTCTGTGGGTCTCAGGTATTCGGTAACATCGTGCTGGACGCTGATACTTCTATTACCAAGCACAACAATTTCCAAAGCTTCATACAAGGTCTGATGCTGCTTTTTCGGTAAGTAACGCCACGCCAGAGGAAATCTAGCTATCTGGTTAGCCGTTGAACTTGACCACGCGACTATCAGCGCGACTTGCAAAACGATCGAATGAACTTTTCACGCTCAACACCTGCGGCAAGCTACCTATCACTTATTAATTTTGTTACGAGAGCACGATGCGGAAGATGATTCAAGTTTTCTCGAATTGTGATACGAAAGCAGGTTGATCTTTGGTGACGTCTACGTGACGAGGAATTTAATTAATTAAATTGTTTACGTAGCACTGGTTATGTGTCATAATTATTGTATCGATTTAATTTGCCTAAGTTATGGAAAAATGACAATGATTTCAATTTCCCTGAGATATTTTCACTACGGCGATATCCAAGAAAAGATAATTTAATTATGTCGAAATTCTCAAAAACTATTCAGGCAATTTTATTAAAATTACATTCCAGTCAAAATATAGGTATTACATGCAGCCGAAAAATATCAAGCTGTTTTTGAAATATGACTTGGGCTATTCTCACGTTAAGCGTCCCAATTATCACGACGTCGCGGAATCTTCTAATCGTTTAATTCATATTATTTCCGGATGTATGTTCACAGCAGGCCTTTTCGCTTCGATCCAACCATGTATTACTGTAAAGTTCCCAGCACTAAATCGAGCACAAAAGCAGAATCAGGCTAAACGACACGGCATATTCAGAGCAAACAGAATAATACACAGCAGCCTCGTGTAGAATTGAGTTCGCCGTATTAATTTCACAGTCTAGCTTGCCTTTTGATGTTGCGTAAAATATCTGCAGGCCTTATGCATGCCGCGCTTGCAAAGAGACCGCGGGCCCAATTATTTATTCTCCTCAGTCTTGCAACAGATACGACAATACTGTCGATTAAAAAATTGTTAATAACAACTTTGAAGCAAATTTTATGTGAAAAAATAGTTTATAATAGATTTTTATTTCTACATAATTCCTATATGCAAACAGGATGCATATAAGAATTTATTAAAGCATCCTGAGTCTTATTAAAGGACTGAGGAGATTATAGAAACTAAACTTAACATGAGCTGCAGAAGAGGCAATGTCGTAGTTCGTTAAAATATCGCATGAATTTTTGCAACTTTTGCAACTTTTTAGTTTAATTTTTTTTTATTGCAAAAAGACGCTGCTTAACAATACTAATTTGGGATTGTTCGTAGTACAGAAGAATTATACTTGAGACTAAATATTCACAACATAAATCCACTCGCGATAAAATTGATTTTTTCATTTTTTAACAATACAAAATAAGATAAATGTTTCTCAACAATAATTATTTTCATCCTAGATTGGAATCTCAAAACATTTTTATATAACCTATGCCTAATCTGGATTGCTTTTACGAAACTATTAATCGAGTCAATCAAAACAAAATTCCAATTTTTTAATATAATTATGTATTAAAAATGGATTTGCGTACAAAGTTGTATCTATATATATTCTCAGGTACAGTACAAGTCGCCGTAACTTTTCGCAGTAATCTCATGGCGACTTCGTTATAAGCGTTTAACATCAATTAAATTAGAATTGGAAGGTCTGCATGCGGTTGGGAATATATTAGAATAATAATCGCAGCTTTTCTGGCGCATTCGATGCGCTAGGTCGCTGAAGTATTCGCAGCTCTCGTTTCGACGACAGCAACAAAAGTGTTAATGGAAATGCTCAAGATGCGATCTTCTCAGGTGTGCCACGGGAGAGGCCTGGCCGAACATCATGCTGGCGTGCGTAAAGGGCCGTCAATGCGACCCGAAGGCCGAGAAGTCCTTGGAGGAGCAGAATGATTGCGGCTCCAACATCGCCTACGCCTACTTCGTGTCGTTCATCTTCTTCTGCTCGTTCCTCATGCTGAATCTCTTCGTCGCCGTCATCATGGACAACTTCGATTACCTCACGCGGGACTCGTCGATCCTGGGCGCGCATCATCTCGACGAGTTCGTGCGGATCTGGGCCGAGTACGATCCGAACGCCACCGGCAAGATCCACTACACGGAGATGTACGACATGCTGAAGAACATGGACCCGCCGTTGGGATTTGGCAACAAGTGCCCGAATCGGCTCGCGTACAAGAAGCTCATCAGGATGAACATGCCGGTGGACGGTGACGGGAAGGTGAACTTCACGACCACGCTGTTTGCCCTCATTCGCGAGAATCTCAGCATAAAAATGCGATGCGGTGAGTTCATCTCGGAATCTGCGTGACGTGGAAAAAGGAAATGACTATTGTCGTTTCGCAGAAATAAGCAATTGTCGACGAAATTAATGAAATTTTCCTTTTCTTCTTCTTTCTCTTCTTTTATCTTTCTTTCTTTTGTTCCAGCCGACGAAATGAATCAAGCCAATGATGAGCTGCGGGACACGATCAGGAGTATCTGGCCTTTACAAGCGAAAAAGATGTTGGACCTTTTGATACCTAGGAATGAAGGTAAAATTCGCTTTTCTCTGTCCAACACGACACGTGTATTTTGTGACATTCGATGATCGCGCGATAATTTCTTCCTTCCAGAATTGGGCAGAGACAAGCTCACCGTGGGTAAGATATACGTCTGCCTTCTGATACTCGAAAGTTGGAGGTCAACGAAGTTTGGTCAGATAAAGTCTGCCGAACAGGTGAGCCTTCTCTCTCTTTCTTTCCTCTGTCAAATTAACTCTATATATTTTTCATAAGATAACAGGTCCTAAAGATACATTTCTAGTACTAAGTTTCTTTCGTGATCCTTCAGTTACAATTTTCTCGTTTCGAATTTCGTTCGACTTCTAGCTGTTTCCATTAAGCAAGTTTATTGAATGTAAACGCGATATAAATTAACATAAATATTTGTAAATTATAAAATAAACGATTTTTATTTTGTGCATTCTAAATATTTGCTGCGGAAGAAACGAATCAGAAAATCGAAATGAAGGATCTCGATTGAGAATGAAATTCGAGCGATTGTTCGCCGTTTTGGCTTCCTCATGATAGGCCAGCCCGCGCGCGAAATGAATTTGCGATTAAAGTACTCTGGAAGTCTCGTGTAATCTAGCTCGATCACTTGGAGCTTCAATATTGTCATAAAACTTTTTCGAGTACAGATAGAGATACTTTTAATAAATATTGTAGATATACTTGAATTAGCTTATAGGTTTGTCAGAATCTGCTAAATATCTAAATTGTAGTCTTGCTAACTTACAAGAAAGTTGACTTCAAATTTACTGGAAGATAAATCTAATTATACGAAGGAATAAAGAATAGCAAAAAGAAAATAGTGTCTTTCCACTTATAGCCCTATTAAATTTAATGGGGCAACAGAAACAACAAACTATTTAGTCAAATTACTTATGCACAATTGTTTTCTTTACTTATATTAGCTAAGTCAATGTTTGTAGAAACAAATTAGATGTGATCTTACTCGAATATTGTATCTCGAAAATTTGTGCAAGTAATTAATATATAATAGATTATTTGCTTTCGATCTATCGATTGCTGTTTAAAATGATTTATTGATACAAATCAAAATCGACGTTGAATTAAAAATCACGTTCATATCAATCAAAAAATTGTCTTTAATGACAGTCGATAGATCGATTGGACGACTATACATTTGTATTATAGATAGCCTGAAAATATTTACTGAATGGATTTCAATTAGACTAGATAACAGAGAACACGATATTTACTATTTTTTTAATCTCTGGAATGAGAGAATAATTACATATTCTTGAGTAAACAAATTGACGATACATCTAAACAATAGCAATTAACAGTGATAATTTACCGATTAAATTATTTTTTTTTTATATACTCAAACCGAAAGGATATTCACACAACTTTCAATCATCTCCTTGTGTCTTTTTTCTTTATTTTCCAGAGCGATAACGATCTTATCGATAACGATAATGCTGGGCAAAGTCCTGCAGCCCAGGCGGTAGTACTTACTTTTTCTCTTACTTATTATCTTACTTATTATTATCTCAACACTGTTTCGTTTTTCTTTTGGCTGTACAATTTGTGTTCAAATTCTAATCACATTCGTCCGTTTTGCATTAAATACGTACTGCAAAAGTTTCCTTAATCTCTTTACCGATCTTTATTCTAATATATTTTCATAAAAATAACTTATTATTACTTGAAAAAAAGAAACGAATCTTTTGCAGCATATAATATTTTTTTTAAAACTTCACAATCCAATTTTTTCTTCACCCTTCATACATTATCCAGAGGCACTCACGACGGATGCAGGAAAAATGCATCATTTTACACTTGCAAAGTGTCTCGCGTAATGCAATTTACAAATTATACTTTCTTCTCTCTAAAATAAATAAATGTTTTTTTTAATGTAACATTATTTTTTTACCTCTTTTATGTGTTTTAAGAAATAAAATATTTACGCGAAACACTTTGTGTGATACAACTTGTAAATTGAATATTTCTTTGTATATTTCTATTTTACATATGGTGATAAGATCAATGTGCCTCTGGTACGTCTTTTTCTATTTTACATCGCACATAATCTTTTTTTTTTCACTCGTCATAAGTGTATACGATTATTTTCGATCTGTTTTTCATTTGTGTCACGTAGCCCTTTATTTAACACTAATATAATCATACACACACATATACACTACACAAAGACGTAGCGAAACAGCTGTCACTAGTAATATAAAATCACTATCATTAAAATATATTTAAAGAATAATGTGTGAATGAATAAATATAAAATCATATTTTCATTCTTTAATTCATTTCCAATTACAGAATAAACAGTTTCGTAAAATCTAAATGTAATATTATGTTATCATATATTTTCTTAAATATATTAAGATTAGAGAATAAAGATAATAATTGTGTGTTGAAATTAGAGAAATTTTTGTACGTATTGAATAAGTTTATAAAATTTAATTTAAAGGACGCAAGAGATATTTTCAGAGATGAAAATTTAATTGACGATGGAAGGTAGCGAGAAAATGGATGGCTGTTTCGCATACGATAAATTCACACGGCAATACGTTTTAGTCTATTTTACTTAGGCACTTATCATATTAGACACGTAATACATAATAGATCTTTAATCAGGCTCGCACACGAGCTAGTCTTTAGACACTTAGTGCCTTTCTGCGGAGAGGCTTTTTTTCGTTTTCTAATCGCACGTTTCCTTTTGTCAAGCTAGTTTAGGATAACGTCGAAGAATAGCTCTCACTTCGATCTATATATCACAAAGGGAAGACGATCTCTTCTCCCGTGTAAACTTTCGACGAGGTCCCTGCGCGTGCGAGAGGCTCCCGCAGTGATATATACGATTGCAATACGTTGTCAGAGTTGTTTTAGTCGTCGTGTTGTTGCCGACACACGTGGGTAACACGTGGCTACGTACGCACGTGTACGCGCGTGTATAGATATATCGGCTCTTTGTCGACCGGCAATACCGGTATAGCTGTGTGTAAGTAAATCACCTCGTAGAGCTCCGTTTCTCGAGCCTTATATTTAGAACGAGAAGTAGCCCGATGAGACAATCGATTCTCGAACGTATACATATATATATTATATAGCCCGCCTTTTGCCTCAATCTACGACAAACGCCTCTTAGACATATACACTCTTTTCTTGCCAAGCAAGCCTTTTTTCAATTAATTAAACGTATATAGTTTGGCAATAGCCGATTCTTTTAGAGCGTGACGTAGAAACTTCCTTTTCATTCTGCCGGACTGTCCAGTTTGCTCACGAGCGTTTGACAAATATCTCTCTCCTTTATTTAGTATGATACGAACTTTTCAAAATAGTAGAATTTGGAATTATATAGCTCCAAGCATTTTAACTTCGCGCTCGTTCACGTAAGTTCAAGTAATATAACATCCTAATAATAAAAAATTATTAGCTATCACGAAATTATTAGTTATTGGTGAAATTATCTAATTAACGGCAATTAAGAAATTACTTTTTTAAAAGTTTAATACAGTTATTAATTTTATTATTAGGAAATCATTGCGCTGTATTGTGTTGTTTACACGCGGATATCGATTGCCTCGCTTGATCTTAATAAGAAAATAGATTCAGGATCATCTAATATCTAAGTAAATTCACAGACGCGGCGAAGATTTGGAAAAACATGAAGTTCACCGTCTCTCTTCTCTTAGATGCTAGATAGATCCCAAAAAACATCTTTTTCTTTTACGGTGCGAAGTTAATGCGGCATCTGATGATAACGCTCCTGCTAGCTAATGCCGAAAAGATTATTTTCCTTCTGGTTTCTTACGAGCAGTAGTGTAGAGGAGATTAATAGGCACTCTTTTGACTCAGTGATTTCAGCAGTAGACTCGTAGTCTTGCCCAACTTATCCGATCGCTTTCTACTACTAGAACAGTTTTTCCGCTTTCTACTAGAGCAATTTTCCGCTCTTTCAGTTTACACGTCACACGTCATTTGACACACTCTCTATATTGTATACACACGCACACACGTGTTGAAACGCGCACTGACACAAGATAAAGTAGCCTTAAAAAAAAAAAAAAATCTGTGATGCAGTAAACTTAAATATCTTTCACATATTAATAAATAATTCATTCTCTTTTGGCGAGTAAGCTGTTACGCAAGGATCTCGATAAATTGCTCCTGTAAATCGCTCGAGCGAGCAACCGGGCGTGTTCGACGATGCTTACGAAAAGTGTACCACTAAATGTAACAGTTGATAAATATTTCGTAAACATTGATGATCACTTCCACTCGTGGCAGCAATTTGTAGCTCGACATAGATGAAGAACGATTTATCCGCATCTCATTTATTTGCATTCTAAGTGTCTTTCGATAGATAAACAGCTCCTATTTTTTACGGATTTAGCAAGCACTTGACATATAAGTCACCGATAATATGAAGGATGTCCCAAAAGTGAAACGGTTGCTAAAGCAGCGATAAAAATTCTTAGTAAAAGAGACTTCTCGGTTTCATGAACATTCAAGAGGCAGGAATAATCGTCATTAAAATATACGTACCAAATGATTTTGGGACATCCCATATTGCGGCATGTTCCAGATTCCTCAACCTTGGAATATACTTCTACTCAGACCCGTTTATTGCATACCAAGCAGCAGAATTTCAATTTTGTCCACGATTATTTGGCATATCTGTATGATCTTCGCGGAGTGAAGACTGTCCGTGTTCTACCTCGCGAATACAAATCGCCCGCAGCGGCTCTTGCTAATAAAAAAAAAATGTAAAAAGAATTTTGACACTTATGAATTAAATAGCAGTGTCACTACTACATTTCAGTAGTGTTTTCACTGCACTAGTAGTCCATTTTTAATATTACCTCACATTTGAAGTAATATACAGAACGTGTGCAGAGCGTATGGTAGAACATCGGGGACTTCACCCGTTCCGTGCATGCTTATACTAACAATTGCATTCTTGCAGTACTATTACGTCTCTCAAAAGACTAAATCGCCGTTTCCTTACTAACGCATTTGTGTCCACTTGTAACACTTTGGTATACGAAGGGGAGAAAGGGGGATAACATTTCTTTTTCTTTTTTTTGATATACATATAAACATAGTCTCGATCAACATATACAGGCTTTGCGACGCAATACAAAATTTGCCCCGCTGCAATACCGTTTTTTACGCTACTGTTTCTCGCAATTCTTGCATTCACACACGTTCTCTCGAGCGTATATATATAAGTATATACAGTAGTTCGAGATGTGGAAGAGTCCGCCGTAAGATCGACACAAGTAAACGCACCATCACGGCATGCCTTTTCTCTAGCATGGCCGCCTCTCTTTACTCTGAGAATTCTTTCTCACCGTTCTTTTTACACTATTGATTCTCGATCTTTGAATGCTTCCGATCTTATAAGCGTCTCATGTTCTACCACGATTTTTCGAGAGTCCACCGACGAGAGGTAACGCTAAGAAAAAAAAGCCTGTATGTGCCTGTACATATATATTATATATATATAGTTTATTTATATACATATGCGAAAGAAACTAAAAAAAAAATGGAGAAATAAAAGCGCAAAAAAAAGAAAAGAAAGAAATTGTTGATCGAAAAATGAGATCCCTGTCGATCAGCTCTGATAGCCGGTGTGCTTTCGCACGTTTCGCAATTTAGCCATCGGCCTTCTTCAACTGCCTGCTGGACATGGCGGCGGTAAATCACACCGGAAATAATCACGGAGCCGGAAGTAGGGCGAACAGCCTCGAACCGGTGATGCGACCGGCCGTGGACACGAAGCACGAACGACTCAGAGAACACACGGATGAGGAGGACGGGGCCCTAGGCATCCTCGCAGCCGCCGAGCACAGACGTCAGCGTAGCATCAGGTATGCATCAGTTTTTTATGTACTAGCGAGAGAAAAGATGAGATTCTCAATTGAATTATTTCTACACATCAGTAAGGCAATGCAGATATTTTTAGAGCAATTTTGGCAATGGCCCAGTTCTTTGAATAGCAAAGTAATTGATTAAAATTAATCGATTTATTGATTTATATACCAATTCTTTTGGATTTAGATATACATATATAATATATAAAAATCAGAATTCACATAATTTGTGTTCACTATTTGGATTCACAGTAATTTGATTAATGGAGCGCCTAATGAATTATAAGAAAGAATTATAAAAAAGAATATATTATATATTGCGTAATGCACAACCAATTTATATTGTCATCGCATATATTTGTTAAGAATACACCAGGATGGCGGTTGCTTTGATTTCAGAAACAAAAAGGTGAACTGGAAGATGTCTCGCCAGTACGATATACTAGGCAGCAGCGGAGAGAGTAGCCAGGGAGGGGGTGGGTCTGGGGTTGTAGTTAATGGCGAGGATCGCGCCCCCGAACTAGAGCCATTGCTGGCCGAGATGCCCTCCCAGCGGGATGATCAAAACAACTACTACCACGACCATCACCATCACGATCAATACTACTACGATACCGACAATGATCAATACTATGACCATCACCAATACTACCACCACCACCATCACCATCATCATGACCACCGACCACCCTCGTACTACCAACACCAGAACACCTACGCACCTCGCTCCTCGATCCGTTACCACAAGGTGTCGGCTCGGTCCAAGCTCAAAAAAGACTTTCCTCGGTTTTTTTCGAGAATGTCCTTCTGTCCCCGCCCCTTGACCCTATCGGAAGTAGATCGCGATAAAAGAAGTCGGAAAAGACCCTGTTCATTGTCTCGTTGAAAATGTGGTCATAATAAGAATCGCGAATCCGTGTGTACGCTACGTTTAAGATGTGTTAGTACCGTAGCAACTGCAAGATGTTTCTGGACCGAAATGCTCTTGGAACTGCTTTCCTCGAGATTTCTGTCTTTCTTTCTGGAACTGATATTTAAAAAGTTAAAAAACATGACGTTATTTTGATTATAAAACTTTGATAGACTTTGAATAACAATCAATTTTTTACATCAATTTTCATTCAATTAAATTAATTTATATGAATATTAATATGAAAAACCAAGTTTTTGCATTAGAGAACATTTATTTAATTAATTTTGTCTCTATTAATAGCAAAATACACGTTGTGCTATTAAAAGTCTACACGTCGAAGGATTTACTATTAAAATCGAAACTTTACAATTTTGTATTTATATTGGGAATACATTGGTCCAATATTGCGCCAATGAATTTGTCAATTTTGTGCTACTAGGAGAATGATGAAATCCAGAAACATCCTGTAATCAAATATAGATCACGTAGATCGTTCTATTTTATCTAAAAATAATTCTAGATTAGGATATCGTCTCTTATCGCGAATTTGCTGTGCTACATTGGTCTAAATTAGGATACTATCTCGCACTTAGTATTGTAATTAATTGTGTCACCAAAAGTATTTTTAGAAAATGTGACCTCCTCCCAAAGAATTTTTACAATAAGATCTAGATAAATAAAGAACGCCCTTAGATAAAGTCCCCTTAGTATAAAATTAGATTTCAGAAAAACTAAATTCCCGCTGGATGAACCGAAAGTATTTATGTTTAAATTAGATTAGGATGAATCGTCTTAAATCAACGTTCTCTACCAATCCGAGCTTCAATTTTTCCGATCCTAAAAGGATAAGTATTCAACATACATCGCGCGGATCGAGAGGTATTGCCCGTGATGTCGTGATATTGAGCTCAAGACCGATTCACAGTGGAATCAGGCGAAATTTTAGTTCGCGTTGGACGAACCGCGTGCTTTTACTACTTGCTGGTGCCGCGCGAAATCATTTCTTCTCTGCAAACACCAAAACTAACAGTAACATAACTGTTGGTTAAAATTTCTTACTCAACAATATAACTGTAATATTATAACACGCGTGTTACATTATACAATTGTACTGTTAAGCAGGCAGTTATACCTAACAGTTATGTTAGTTGATGTTTGTCAGGTTCATTACTGAAAGAATCGGTCTTACAATTAGTCGAATCGATCTTGATCTTGCTGAGTGTATTAGCGCTTCTGTAAATATTAACGATAGAGAAAGACAACGCTCTAGCGCGAACACCATATAGAGAAATAGTCACGCGTGTGTCACCCGCGAACGCTCTTAGCGACTCTTCTTCGTGTCGATGCATAGAACAGCTCCCACCCCCTTGTCCCTTGCTGCTTTCGGCCTTAGGATTATCGCCGGAGCAACGAAGCAGTCAACACGATCTCGCGCGACTGCCTCGTTCTCCTCGTCTGTCATGTTTTGTCTTGATTCTTTATGTCCACGTCCTGGTAAGTAAGTAAGATGGCACGCTCTTGCGAGGGAGACTCCTGTCTCGAAGGTAGCGGATACCTTCCCTTTTTTTTCCAATCAAGCGATCGGACCTTACGAACGAGTGCATGTGCATGAGCGAGACTTTTCTAACTTGCATGCCATTCAACACACACATATGTATGTGTCTCAGTGTGTGAATTACTCTTATTCCGCCTTATCTCTCAATTTTTCCTGATTTTTTTGCGAAGCTACATTTAACTTTGTTAGTGACAAAAAAGTGTACGCTGAAAATTACAAACAAAAGCAGATCGCACGCGTCTCGATAAAAAAAAAATTGTTTAGTCTTGCATTTTTCTCGTGCAATTCGATCGATATGTAATTCGGTCATCGCGGTATTAAATCATCTTGATATTGTGCAATGATAAAATTGGTAGCCAGCGTAAAGTTTTACCAATGCTATTAATTTTATTGGCGGAAGATATGTCACATATTTATTCAATTATCTAAATTACTTGTATTTCTATATTGTGCATATATGAAAAACATTAAATTAATCACAGGTCTCTAATGTGAACGTCAGTCAAATGGACGAACGTGCATCTGCTTTTGAATTCCACAGACAAAAGGCGTCTCGATAGTCGTGTTACGATAGCTTCTTGTTCGAAACGCGCGCGCGAATCAACAGCGCGATATTGCTAAAGACAAAGAACCGGCAACACCCCGACTCCCCTTTCGATTCCCGATTCCGACCCTAAATTACGCAGGCAAACCACTAAGTCGCAAGTCTGTTCTCGTAGGATCTGCAAGACGTCATACCGTCCGACTCGCGTGCCGGTAGCCTCGAGAGCCTCACTGGTGACAGAGTCCTTCGTCCGCATCATCCCTCGGCGCTTCTCTCTAGACGTTCACGATCACCAAGTATAAGGTATTGAGTGTAGTATATGTAAGCAAGTGAAAAAGTCACGCTATGTCGCGAAGTACATGTGTACAAAGAATTCCATTTGTAGACGGCTGATCGTATAGTCTAATAGTAATTTGAGTAACGAAACATCTGATGTCCCTCAAACCGTGAAATAAGAAAATTGATAAAACATATATTTCAGCAAATTATACAACATTACGATAAAATCGAGGAAAATAAAATTCGATATGTATTCCAAACCACTGAATCGAGAATGATGTACAAAAATACTGGCGTCTCCGATTTTCCGGTGTTATAGACATGGCTAACGTATTGGCTGGATTATACGATGCTACGCGACGTGTTGTGATTTCCTCATTTCTTGTTGTCATAATTTGCAGAAGACACTCGCCAATAATGCCTAGATCGCCATCGCCAAGGCGACACAGCCGGTACGACCACGGTCATTACCAAGACGGACCAGGGTTTAGCGACACCGTTAGCAACGTCGTCGAGATACAAAGGCACACTCATCATCCCCACTCGTCACAATATAATCATCGGCATAGGATACGAGGTACGACGTACCGGCGGTAATTCCGATCCAGCGAAAGCTACGATGGTGCAACGATAAGTCTTTCTCACGGAACCACGACAGCGAACTCTGTTTCGTGTTGGTCATCCCCAACCGGTTTCTCTATCTCTCGTTGTTTTTCTTTTTTTTTTATCAGCCTGGAATATACTACCAACACAGCATCCTTGTATTTACTCTATCACCGTATCACCGATATACCTTAATTCATTCTCTTGGTGTTATTTCTATTATTATAATTATTATTGATTATGGATTTATTACGATTATCTCCAACCGGCTTGGTGATATATATTTAACCAGTTCGTTTCAGAGGTTTCACTACGAAAATGGCGCCGTTGTGTACATACCGTTCATTGCGTTCCATTCTCTTGGAAAATTGTCAGTCATAAAACTGTGTAGATTGCAATCTGTTTGCCGAAATCAATGGAAGCAACGAAAGAGAGTTCGTGGTCACGGTTGTTTTATAAGAAACATGAATGTTGCTATAATGTTGATTTTACTCGAGGCAGAAAAAGCTCTGTGTGATACTCGATGTAATACGTTTCTTCGTTCTGTTCTGTTATGCGCCTACACAGACTATTACGACCACTGCGACTATTACGACGATGGTAATTTCTTTCACAACTCTCCTCTTCTTCATTCCCTTGTCTCCACGATGCAATTATGATGTTACTATATACATAATCAACACGATCGTTTGGCTTTCACCATTTCTTCATTTTTATTTTACGATGATACACATTCACACGCATAAGGACACATACACATATACCCACACATACATGCAAAAGATACCACAAAAATCAACGTAGATGTAGTAGACGTTTTCAAACAATCGATATGTACACAACACCAATAGCATCGATATTCAACACCAATAGCATCAATGTTCACATCAAAAACGTTTCTCTTTTTGTTGTTACTTTATGCTATCTTTACATTAGAAACGCTATCGAAATTGTCAAATTTTATCAAGATTTATCAATCAAAAAATTGGCTAATCGATCATCATAGATCATATTGGAATCATTATTGTAATCTATTTGTTGTAATCTTAACATTTTTCATAACGTGCTCAGTTCTCAAATACAATCCACTAGTCTTCTTAATCTTATTAGACAGTTGACGCGGTATATATGATTTGAAAGATGTAACATATATATGCTAATCGTATTTTTACACCAGCGTAAAATAATTCATTAGTTTGACATCTTAGTTTTTAAATAATTATATTGTTACGCCTTTGTGTCTCCTACTCGATACGGGACAATCGATATGAAGGTCAATAAAGTCATTTCTAAAATTGAACAATCGAATTAAATTGATAAACAAAGAGTCGTCTAAAAGTCTGAATGGATTTTGTGCGCGTTGCTTATGGCTTTTTCAATTTGATCTTTGCATTTCGTTAATTATGTTCTATTGTATATACATAAAATTCGCATAAAATCATTAATCTTCTAAATAAATTTTCTTTAGTCCCGCGAGTGCGGGAAATATTTCGCGAGTGAACGGCGCTCGGGTGTAACAATATGAATTATATAGAATATAATATTGAGCATAGTTTGTTTGCAAGAGAATTAGAGAGTTTGAAGATTCTGCACAATAACTGTTGAGAATATCACTGATTATTGATGCACTCATAATTTAATAATTTAGCATCGTAGAATGTATGCGCATGCTATGTTAGATGCCTCATAGAATTCAAACACAGTTAATATTTAGAGCATCGGCACCGACATGTGTTTGCATTCGAGTTTTCACAGCATTACGAACATGAAACACTACAAGCATGTTGCATTAATCCTCCTTCGAATTTGATAATTTCAATAACTAGCACATATTTAATATCTTTTTTTTTTCAATTTTCGTACGAAATGTAGAAATCAGAAAGGAATATCTCCATTATTAAATTCATTATTGCATTATTTTCAATCATTATTACACATTTAATAAATATAGTCAGTATTCATTCTTAAAAAAGAAATAATAGTTTGCTCTACAAAGGACTATTAATAACTATTAATAGAGCTATGTATTAATAATGGTATCATTAGTTCGTCAATCCTGAATCCTCTCCAATAAATCGAGCTCTTCGACTTTCGCACAGAGAAACCGAGTGACTAAATCTAAATTAAATTAAAGCCCGGTCTTCAATATTAGACAATCGAGCAACCAGTAATATTGAAAATTGCTATCCGAAAACTGTCCGATCCCTAATATAATTGAGTTCTCCCAACGGCTTCTCAACAACCACATGCTTATGTGATTTACTTGTCGAGCAACCCTTGCGCCGTGTGTCAAAAAAGCCCCCGCCGCAACGATTGTGCCGCTGCGCGTGCATCGCAGACGGAAGATTTTAACACGCGTGTTTATTAGGTCCATGGAGCGCGTCGACGAGTCCGGCCAGGTCGCCGAGCCCGGTTCATAGGATCGAGCGCGGTGGTCATTACGGCACGACGAGTCTGGAGCAACGCTCGAGGAGCCCGAGCCCGGGCGGCGGTCGCCCGCATCATCACCATCGCCATCATCCGCATCAACACAGCTACCCGGTGCTGGTCGCGAGGAGAGGCCAGGGTCGCCGGTTGCCGCCGACGCCAAACAAGCCGTCGACCCTGCAGCTGAAGCCGACCAACATCAATTTCCCCAAGCTGAACGCATCGCCTACCCACGGACCGCACGTCATGGCACCCAGCGGACTGACCCACGTGCCAGTGGCAGGGGGACCCGTATCTGGCCATGTGCATCCGCACCCGCCGTCGCACGTGCCATCCTCCGTGCAGCCGAGTCATCATCCGTTAAGCTTCGAGCAGGCTGTTGCGATGGGCCGCGGCGGTCGTCTGCTGCCCAGCCCGGTGCCCAACGGTTACAAGCCACAACCACAGTCCAAGAGAGCGTCTAGGTAAGGAGTTCGTGTCGTCTCTATTTCGAATGATATCTCATCTTCCATTATCATTAAAGTTAGTTATCTCACAATTCGTGTTTATTTACTTTTTCTTAAAGTGTTTCTTCTGAGATTCTCTGAAGTTCATTGATTTTACGCTAAATTACGTGATTTACAAATTATTTTGATCTACTTGCCAACACGTTTTTCAAAATGTATATAATCTGTCCGCCTCGCTCTAAACTGTAACGAGTCTTGATTGGACGGATAATGTTTTTGAGCAGGTCGAGGCACTCGGACAGTGACGAGGACGATTGGTGCTAGCCAAAGTGGGACCCTGGACGGTGGTCCGGTGACGTGGACGCCCCCAGGCGTCTCAGGGTTTGCGCGTGATAGTCGTCCACGTGGGACGCGCGTTGATTTCGATGTGAAGGTAAACCGAAAGTGCCGCGGTCGACGAGCCCCGAAGCTCCAGATTTCGACCGGCCGAAGAACGGCTTCATGAAGGAGTTGTTCCAGTCACGGCATCGCGGCGACCGTAGGACGTCGTGAGAGAGAGAGAGAGAGAGAGAGAGAGAGAGAGAGAGAGAAGTCGAAAAACGGAGAAAACAGATTCCAGGCGGACGATATTCGGAGCGATCTCCGAAAGGCTGAACAGCGGCGACCGAACAGGGTCAGCAAAAATACACCATAGAGAAATTGATTTCTCGCGAAACGCACAGGAGAAATCGAACTATCATTCACACGTTGACGTCGCACGAATCCGCGAACGAGGAGGAGTGCGCGGTTCTACGAATCGATCGAGGTGCAATCAAACGGCCGAGCTCGGTGAATCTCGAAGATTCGATCTTGGAGTCTGGAGGACCGGGTCAGAAGAATCGGGGACGATCGCCCAAACGCGATCGTCCGGAGATCCGAGGGGAATTCGTTCGAAAGATGAATTCCATTCGCTGTATAGTCGCAGACGGTCTACATTGGCGCGAACGACGCACGGAACGAAGCGAAGATGAATCTCTCGAGATCGCGAGCGACGACTACGTCGAGAGACAAGGTGGTAGGTTGCAGTGAAACTCGTCGTCGTGCGCGACAGTGATTGAATAATTTGAGCGGACGTTCCGGGAGAGCTCGAAAATCCTCCGATATTATACGCAAGTTAATATTTCAATCTTACTCCTCGGCCCGATCGAGCGGAGATCGTCTCGAGGACTTACTTTTTATACGATTTTCCGGAGGAGGGACTCATCGAACGCCCGAATTGCGCTGTGATCACCACGAAACGTTCTCTTACGTGCGTGTGTATTTATGTATGTATGTATGTATGTATGTTCGTATGATTTTATGCGTGCGTGCGTAAGAAAACCCCCTTTCCCTCCCCTCCCCCCCCCCCACAATTCACCGGAAATCGCGACTGTAGATGTACCGAATATCGTTCCACTTCCATTCGTAAAAGCGCCGATTAAATAATGTTAATTGTTCAACGACGACGTTAATTAAAGGATCGATCGAAGGAGACTTGAAGATGAAATGATAGTTGATTCCAGGGTTCAATAAGGCTTAACATCATCACTTTTAATTTCGAAAACTATAGATTTCAAAATAATCCGATATATTTCATTTTGAAATCTGAAAACGTTTCGTATTTCTTCGCTGTAAGCGTCGTCGGGAAATTTAGCCGCGCGAAACAAAACGGACGAACGAAGCGAGTGTTTCCCGACGAATCAAGTGAGAGACCAAGAAAAAGAGTTATTATAGGATTAGAAGTTAGACGGAAAGTCGAAACAAAAGAGAATTCTGATAATTCTGAGGGATTCAGATCCGCTTCATTTTGCCATTAGCAAATCGCTCGCCCTAATTGCAAAAGCGACGCCCTAATCAAATGTGAATAATCAGAAATCGCTTCGCCGAGAGAGAGAGAGAGAGAGAGACGCGCAAGAACCGCTGCTACGAGATAGCGATTATTGCTCGCAGTCGCGGTTCTTGTCAAATCGAAAACGCTCGAGTCTATCATAGTCGTCGCAAGGACATAAAATCAAGGAGCAGAAAAGAGAGAAAAGCAAACGCGGACGTCGTCGTTAATTCGCGCGGATGTTGTCTCGCGCGATTCGTGCCAATCAAGAAGAGTGATTAGGAGAAAGTTCAGGAAATGAGGACCACGATCGAGGAAATGCGCACTTGGAACTATACGGGGTGAGAACAATTGTCGCGAGATATTCGGAACGGGGGGAGGGGGAGAGAAGACGCGTAAAAGAGAAAGAGAGAAAGAGAATAGACGAGTTAAAACAAAAGTTCTTACTCATACGGTTTTCAAAAGCACTCCTGTAAATTACTGCGTACAATTGAATTACAATACTTATTACTTATCACTGCTAATACCGTTTATTAAATTAAACACCCGCAGAAAGAGATGAAAAAAAAAAACAGCTACTTCACTCTACTATTACACCTATTAACTACTAATTACTGCTACTACCACTACTACTGTTATACTATTACTACTACTATTGCTGCTGCTACTATCATTACTACTATTACTCTATTACTACAACTACTACTATTACTAAACTATTCTACTATCGTCGCTACTAACGCTGTTTACTATCATTACTGTAATACTAAGTGTGCTAATTATCGAAGCGCGCGCGATTCGTGAGAAATATAAACGAGAAACATCACTTTGCGTAATTAATTTGTCTTCAAACTTCGCCGTCGATCGTGCGTTTATACGACGGACGATACAAGGGTGAAAAAAAAAATAGAGAGGAGTTATCGAGAGAATTATCCGCAAAACGGAAGCTTGCTAAACGAGCGCAACGTATCCGAAATCACAGAATTAAAAAATAAGAAAAGAATCATTATGTATATTATATATAAAGACACGTTTAACATACTGCCAATCGTACGGGGTGTTTTAAAGCGGAAAAACACACACACGAGAATACGTAGGTGTACATAAACGTACGTTTCTTTTTTTTTCTGCGACACGTATAAATATTATGATATATCTATACGTAAGTAAGTGTACATACATACCCGGTGAGCGAAAGAGAGGGAGAGAAAGCGAGAAAACGAAGAAACGAGTGAATGGATGTAAGATAATTGAATCGAAAAATTTGAGAGGCGAGGCAAATACGGCCGATACGATAATCAAGTCGCCAGATAACGATCTCTCTTCACGAAGTATTTTATTCTCGTTTCGCTATTTCGATTTTTATATTTATTTATTTTCATTCAATTATCAAAAATGGCGTTATTAAGGAGAATATGTAGTTAGAAGAAACAGGCTGGCTTCGTTTCTTAAATGATTCGATTCATTTCCGGTGCGCTGCTCTGTGCTTGTTTGCGTAATTTTCGTGTATCGGCTAAGTCAAAATAAACGAGAATATTGCCACTACGTAACGAGAATTAATTAATGTAAGTAGCTAATTAAAAAAAAAATGTGTGCATGCAACAGAGAAATTCACGTGAGCAAAGAGGATGGAGTGAAAAAAAAGAAAAAAAGAATGACTGATTTTTCAGCGTGATCGGCATATAAAAATCGGCATATAAAGATCCTTGGTGAATGGACGGGCGTTAATCATCGAACTTGTTTGTATTATTCAGCGATTAAAAATTCAACAATATATAATAAGATCAATTTTTCCAAAGAGAAGACTACAGACTTATCCAATCGCTTTAATATATTGTCTAATATATACATATATATATACATATAGTAATGTAAAATAATAAAAATTAATAATAAAAAGATAATTCAAGAGAGTTGGGATAATTAGTGATTGACATCTTCAATGACATTAATTATTTCCAGGTCCAGGAAAATCATATTTGAATCAGAATCAATGCTCTCTCTCTTCTAAAATGACGTGAAAATTATTTTGGAAACGAGAGAAAGACAGAAAGAAAGAGAGAGAGAGAGAGAGAGAAAGAAAGGATCTCACCGAGGATCTCTCGTGAGCGCATTTTTAGTGATGTATAATCAGAGTCGCGTATTTTCTTCCCTTAAGTGCTTTAAAAACTCAATTATATATCGTATCGCTTATAAATTCACTTATAAACGTTGCTAAAAGGCAATTTATAATTAGAAATCAATGAGAACAAATGCGATATGAGAAGGAACGCTACCAATCAATTCGCTAATATTGGTTCGTAGGATTGTCTTCTTTCAATTATTTATATATTTTTCTTTTTTTACAGATAAATTACGAAATAAAATCAAATTTTCGAATATTGTTCAAAAAAATTAAAATATTTAAAAATAAATTTATAATCTAATAAAGAATTGTTTTCAATCTAGCTGGTATTAGCGAATGTCTCAAAGTAATCAGAGATTGACAATGCTCCAGAAAGATCCGCAACATCGTGGTAAAATGAACGATACGTGCGCGCGCGCGTGTGTGTGCGTATGTGTACCGCGACTAAGATTAAATATCTCTCGTAAAGATGTTTTTCTGTGATAAATATATTTCGAAAAAACTTAGCCGGTCCCCGACGATACGGTCGCGTTGATAAGCCATTTTGCGGATCCAAAAGTACGTGTTAACGCAAGAAAGGAAATGAGCCGCATTTAACACAAAACGATCGAAATTTCTTCTCTTCTTTTAATTTTATTTTAAACGTTGTGTTTGCTCAGCGTGAAATCAAATAATTATATTCCAATATTAAATTTATTCATCTAAAATTTACTTTATGCGAAAAATGAGATTAATATGGAATCAAACTAGACATGTTTTATGTCATATAATATAAGTTTAATCATCTGATTTTAAATTTCATGATAAGCTAGATCATGGATAGATAAATTTAATATTAAACACATGTGAAATAAATGCGGCTCAGAGAGAATACGTGAATGTATCGATAGATATATGATTGCTTAAAAGGCATAGAGAGAAAGATAGAGAGAAAATGAGAGCAAGAGAGAAAAGAGGACAGAAAGCTGAACGAAAGAAAAAAAAGGGAAAATGCCGAATGTGCATGTGTATAATGTGTGCCATTTAACGTACACGTATATAGAACGTTGTATATGCGTGAAAGGATAATGGAGGACTCTTTTAATCTTCATAGACTTTCTAATGTCATAAAGGGATGATGACCAAGCTCGCAAACGAAGAATTAATTAACCGTATAATCCGATATAAATATTAATGTATAATTACTGTTTTTAAAAGTGCTAATTTAAAGAGAAACGTGAGAACATCAAGACGAAACCGCGATAATTTTATTAAATGATAATTATATAACAATACTGTAATTAATGCTAATAACGATACCGGTTATAATCATAAAAGTAACTGTAATAATAATAATATAATAATATATATCGCGATAAGGGTACAATAAGGATAACTACAATAATGACTCTGCGACTCGTCTGACAGCATCCAATAGCAGGCGATAACAAAAGACTCTTCTTAGATATGTGAAGTTGTACAATTGCGCGCGAGAGATAATTATCGAATGTCGAATATGATAGTAGAAATGCGCATAGTTACAGCGGAAAGTTAGGGCAAAACTTTAAAAATATTAAAGTAATAGTGTTGATAGTATAGTATTCAAATTCGTCTCGACGCGACTCCGCGATCTTTGAAGGTATCACGTGATCGACGAAGCGAAACTATGACTGTTTTTTAATTGCGCGAAAAAAAATTGATATTTATTTGATACAATGATAAAAGCGATTATATAAATAACGCAAACCTAGTTTGATGTTCTTGATTTGACGTTCTAATTATGCTATATGTCGCGTACATATACTGCAATTTATAGATTTATTTCGTAGACGTTTGATAGATTTTACATAAAAAATTAATTAATTAGTTTAGCCCCCAAATTATTGTAAAATAATTTATTTAATTTGTTCGTTGCTCAAAGATAAATCTTGCAAAATTTCTAAAAGAATTAATCGACAAAATTAATAATTGGCTTTGTTAATAATAATTAGAAAAATAAATTCAGATTACTTCTTTCAAATATTTCATTTAATTACGGAAATTGAAAATAATAATTTAGTATTTATGTTTTTATTGTAATTCCAAGTCATAATTTTTCAAATACTTTATATGAATTCTGTAAAATTGTATATTGCACTTAAATGCGACTTCATGGCTATTGGATCGAATCGCGATTACGCGAGCCCTCAATCTGTTGTCGTGTTCTCAGTGATATTAAAACGAACTAACGAAAATAGATAGGAATCGCGTTACGACACCGCAGAAAGTTCTCTAATGGCGAGCGTCTGAACGCGTGGAATTTGCAAGGAAGAAAGGATAAAAAAAAAGGAAATGCAACGGAATAAGCGAAAACCGA